GACTTTAAGTCGTACATAAACAACACAGAGTATTTTAACAATCTCTTGTTTGTTGATTTGTAATTGCAATGATTTCAAATTATCAAATTCGGACAAGTCGTTGTTTTCAACCTTTTCCTTTATCCGCTTAATATATTTAATGAATATTTTTGACAATTCATGAAATTCCCATATTACACATCTCCTAACTTCGAGAGAAGTTGTAAATAGATTGAATTTTTCAGAAGATCTTTGGCAAATGCAAGTGCTATTTAAAAGAAACTCGAATTAATATCAAAAAAATATTCACATTTGTTATCTTCTTTTGATACACCTAGAGTAGATGTGTCACAACTGATAACATTTGTTAGTTTTAAAATATTCAACAAACAATTTTTGATTTATCCATACAAAACTTCCAATATTTTTACGTTGTTCCCATATACCTTTGACGTTTAAATATAAATACTGCCATCTGATAAAATGAAACTTTGGAATTTTTTGTATTATAGGTTTATTGTTAAGATATCGGTAGTATTGACCCAAAATGGCAGAAAAACAATATTTCTCTACAAACAGATAAACTTTATATATTGGATCGAAATTAAACACTTCAAAAACTACAAGTCCGGACCTATGGGCATAACACCAACAACAACCAAATTCAGTAAGGAAATGATGAGTATTTTTTTTATTAATATGTATTAAGTTTCCCGATTTTTGGTGGCGCAATTTTTTTAAATTGACATAGTGCACCATCAGAACTATCAGTGACAAACAGTTCTAAATGATTTTCATATTTAATTTTTAACTGATCATAAATAAAATTTGCGACATTATTGGCTTCTTTTCCTTTTTCAGTTTCTCCAAAAAAAGAAAGGAAATTCGAACCAATTATTCTTTTTTACAACTCTGAGAAATATCAGAGTTGTGAAATATCCCAAAGCATCGCGTGGATCCAAACCGTTCCCCATCATATATAGCAGATATAAAACCCCCCTCATTTATCGACTCGTTTAATACACAAATAAAATCGTATTCAAAATCGTTACTCAAAAAACGAGTTCCAGACCTGTAACTAAGAGACATTTTCTTCGTGTAATTTACAGCTTTTGGAGCAAATTGACCTGCAAATATCATAAGCACAAAACGTAACAAAATTGCCCCGATGAA